ATATCGTTTGATTAATTATATTATGTTACGTCTTGCGTGTTCCTAAGCTGTATTATCACTTATTTTTGATTTATATTTAAATTTGAATTTAAAACTAGTTGACGCAATTAATTGTTTGCCATTCTGGCTAAACATAGTTAAAAATTCCATCACGTTGAATTAAATATTACATTTTTAACTACTTTTAATGATATCTAACACTAGTAAGTAGGTATTAACTTGTATTATCAAAATTAAAGGAACCAATATTTAGTATGTTTCGTTAAAACTGAAAAATATATTTGGATTTACTTAACAATTTTGTACACAAGACGTAATATAACATAATTAAACGATATACGTACATTAGTACACATAGGTACATATTACATATTATATAGCAGAGATGGATATCGATCACGATAACCTTTCCCATTTTCTTGAATTTTCCAATTTTTTTCAGAAAACAAATAAAACATTTTTTTTTTTTTTTGTAAATTTGTGTATCTTTGTATATACCACGAATATAAAAATTAGATTTAGAAAAAAGGCAATAAATAAAATAGAAAAAAGAGATTATACACTGATATCGAGTAATTATCGTATAGCCACAGGTACATTATGCGTAACACATATGTACATAGACATGTATTTTTTGTTTATTGAAAACCTTTTTTTTTTTTTTTTGTCGATCGCAACAACCTAGAAAAAATCAGAGGTCGATCGCAAGTCTATTAAAGTTGGTCACCCTTATATAATACCTATATAATATCATAGGTATATAAAATAAATAGCTACTGCTTGTATAATGTATTCATCGGTTTTGCCGCAGATTGTACATATAATATTAATTTTTTTCTTGCCGCATTTTAAATACCGACTTTCAGAAAAAGGTTAATTTTGCCGCCGCTTACCATCTCCTAAACTAATATCAGTTATGTTGGATGGTGTTTTTAAGAATTATATTGTTTATGCGATTAAAAGTTTAAAAATAGGTAACTTACGTATCCATTGTATTTGGTTATTTAATTTTGGTCATGACATTTATTTCGAAAAAAAAACACATACAAAAATACGAAATACCTTAAATAATAGTGTGCATTTGGTCAACGTGTAATTTTGATTACAGATCTTCGCTTTCAAGATTGATTCTTGGCAAAAATCATGTAATATTTTCTATGAGAATAGTTTATTTGATCATTAGTTTTAATTGAGTGCTTAATTGTTGGTTATATGCAATTTTTCAAAAGAAAACTTGAAGAAAATGTAAATTAATTTTCGTAAATAATTAAACAGCTGTACCAACATTAAAATTATTTTAAATGATTTAATTTGCTTTTAAAAATACTTATTTTTAATTTACAGAATAAACAGTTTGAAGATTTTGTATATTTAAAACAAGTAGTGAATTCAAATATCTTACGTGAGTCGCACTGTATTCGTTTAATAATTAAAATTGGTTTATAATAGATAATCCATTTTTTATTAATTCCTATGTATGAAATTAGAATTGGAAATCGAATTTTCTAGTAGATATTTATACAATGTAGTACTTCACTATTACTGTAGTAGTTATACAACGTTGTAACGATGGGAGAAAAAGAATATTCGTTATTTTATTTTATTATCAAATATTATTTCAACAATATAAAAATATTAAATCATGAAAAACGGACGATGAAACTTTTACACGGGAGATAAATTGGAAATAAGTAATGCTTGGAAATCAATTTTCTACCAAATGAAAAGAAAAACAAAAGGCAACAAGAAATCCATTGAAGAAAAAGTAACCTTATATCGGATGATAACTTTAAGTTTTTGTGAGTGTAAAAATAGAGAAAAAAAATGCGCGAAACGTAAAAATATGAATCGTCATATTTCCGGTAGTTAAGATGCGTCACCTGCCAATGGGTTAAGGAAAAAAAAAGAAAAGTGGTTGACTCACCCATTACTAAAAAATAACTTTGGTAGCGCCTATTATATTATGAAGCCTGGACGGAAACGAAAAAAGCAACAATTTGTCACAACAATGATACTGTGAACATATACTCTGCAATATCGCAAAAAGTCTGAAACGTCAGCACATTCCTGAAGCATAGGTGTATCTAGGGGTTCACTGGGAGCAAGTATCACCCTCGTTGGTAAAGAATAATATTAAAAATAAGTATATTTAGAAGAACTTAATAATATATAAGAAAAATAAATGTTGATAGGTTTAGTACAATATTATCATAATATTTTTAGGAATCTAAGTCCCCTTCCAAGATATCCCTACATATATCTATGATCAGCTATATTATATAGTGTTCCGATCGTAAATAGATGCTGAATCTGCCTTTGTATTGAAGGCATGAATATATCGTATTTAAAAAATTAAATATTAATGCAATACAAATAAATACAGTTTTGTCTAAAATCTAAAGTATAGATATGATAATGAGTACATTTTTTCAATTGTGTTTCATTCTAAGCATCTCGCTATAACACTTCACTATTTAATAACCTTGATTTCTGTTGACATTTCTGTTCTTTTAGGAAATTAACGACTGCAGTTTTGAAACCACATGTCATATACGAGACTAAACTCTTAGGTTCTTCACGAGTCGGTCAAGTAAATTTATTCAAGTATTAATCAGAGTGTTTTTAAATTCTTCGTATTCATTAGTATAATATTGTATCCCACATAAAAATAACGGTTGTTTTTCACACGGTTATGGATACATGATCGTAGCAAGTGTTACAAATATTCCAAAACTGCAATTTATTTAATGCAAGTAATGACTGATAATGATTACCAAGTGTATTGTTCACCATTTAAATGACGAACTTAATAATTAGTGTTTCCGTAGAAATTCTTATTGCATAAAAATAGATGATAATATATTAAACCTATACGCATTATTATCATTATTATTTGCAGTTTAATAATATCCAAATTTAAGTCTTAATCTATTACAACTACTTTTAGTCAGTATGTCTAATAATAATAATAAGTATGTCTAATATTAATATAGCTTGAATTGTATCTGTACGAATTTTGACGATTTATAGTTCATACTTGTACACCCACCATTAGTTACACCCATCGGTTAAAAAAAATATGAATTTACTTTTTCATAAATAAACAAATTTAAAAATAAAAAACTTAAATTTAGATATTAAATAAGCATGTAATGCTAATGATAATGATATGCAAATTACTCTTGGTAACAAAAAACCCCTGCTTTAGATTAGAAGAACTATATTTCGCACCATTACAATATTGTTATAAACTGTAGACGTTCGACTTGAAATTCTATACATTTTTCTGAAACGGAATATTTATTTTAAGATCCTGTATGTGATTTCATCAGGTACGATTCTTACTGTTTATGCATTAAGCCCTTCGTCAATATTGACCCGTTGTATACAAGTAATGTACTGTACGCGAAAAAGTTGCACTAAATAACATAGCCTACGGAGTACCTACAGACCATTTATTAAGCCCTATCGAAATTGTGTTTATACGCAGTGCTTCTATTGTTGGTTTTTTTTTTTTGCTTTTTTTCCAGCAATAAACAAAACATATGCTATACATTTTTACACTCGTACGAAATTCGCCAAACTATTTATCAGAGAATAATTGGTAAGCGTTTGAAGAGGTAACGCCTGTCCTCTATCAACAGTACGTTTCTATAAGTGTATTAGTCTAACGTGCGTATAACCCATGAGTATACCATCGTATACCCACTTACTCCTGTTAATTTTTTTAACACACCAAAAATAAATTGATAAAACGAGAAGAGTATATGGTCATAAATATTATACAAACAATCGTGATCTTTTTATTTAGAAAATAGGTGAAGATACAGCGTGTTATAAAGATTTTAAGGAGTATAAGATATTTTGATGCTTTCCAATTGGGAAGTTTATAATATTGTTTGGTATTGATATTAAGGGCATAAGCCTTCAAACCACTAAAGCATATATATATTCCTAGATGGGTCTAGAAGAATTGTAATTTTTTTTTATATTACAAGTGGTATAAATGTATTGAAACGAAGCAACTTTTCAAAATAATGAACTACATAATATGAGTCAATTAACGAAAGGAGACGCAAGTAATAATATATAAAATAAACGTTTTTAAATCTTCAACCATATTTTTAGATTATTTGTTCGTCGTATGGATTGCATAAAGGATAAAACTTCTATGATAATGTTATATTTTTCTTGATACCAATAAGAACCTGGGAATAAACTAGTTTAAAACTGTATTGTGGGATCCAACTCAATTATAGCAAAAAAAGTTTTTACAGTTCAATTGATTATAAGATTAATTTTATGTTTTATAACTTATATTAATTTTATCTTATTTTTTCATAATTATAGATATGGTTAACAAAAACAATAAGTAAAAATACGTTAGTCCGTTAAACAATAATAAAGTTCTGTACTCCAAATAATCTAAAGCATTTATACTAAAGTCTTATTTTTTATTTTTATTTTTTAATTATAGAACTTTAAGTAATAACTATGATATTTCCACAGTTAAAATATTAAATTTGCACATATAAATACTGAGCTTAAAGTGGCAAAAAAAGCCAAGGGGGACTCTAATCGCTATATAATTTTGAGCGTTTCATATAGTCTTATAAAAAATTCCTAGTTATTATTCATAGATTATACGTATATATTACTATATAATTTATAATTTATATTTAATATGAGTTAGTTTTTGTTTATAAAATACTGTTTAACATTTAGTGACATCAACTTGTTTTACTAAATATTACTTATCTCAAAAATGTTATTCGTGTTATGATATTTATAAATTATAAAAAATAAACAATATTTTTAAATGTATATAAATTAAATAAAGTACAATAAATTAAATTTAACATGGATAATAATAAAAATAACATGGTGAAATCAATATTATCAACAGTAACATAAATTATATTTTAAGAATATTTCAATATTATAATATATACATAATAAATATTTTATCTACCTCCTGTACTAACTAAAGTTATAGAAAATTAAGTATCGAGGCATTGCCATATAGGATAATACGAATGAGATTCTTTGTTTAAGTTTTTTTTGTTTCTTTTTAAACATATAGATTCAGTAGCAGAACGTTTTCCCTTTCTAATCCATGATTCAAAAAAGGGCTTAGGATTAAAATTATCTAAAGGTGGTCCAACACAATGAATAAATATTAGTGAAGAAATATGATTAGACGTTAATGTACTTCTAATAGGAGACACAATTAAATTCATCGAACTTAACGTACGCTCACATTCTGATAATGAAATTGCTATTGAATTAATTATAGTTAAAAGTGGTTTTATGTCACTGTTTAGTATTTTGTTTTCTTTGTACTCACGAAAACCCCGAACAGCTGAAACTTGGTCAATTTGAAACAATTGTGACAAGCGATGAATATTTTTATCTCCATATTGAATGTCTATATTTTCAGGCCAATTTTCTGGTGAAAGCACTTCAAAATCTTCATTAAGTTTTTAAAATTTATTTGAAATTCATTATAAATTTCACAAGACGAAACATTGCTTGAGTAGTCATGAGTCTTTCTTTCATATTATTACTTAAGCCAATGAAAAATTGCGCTATTTATATTTTTACTATTGACGATTTGGAGTAGAGTGGTATGCCTTTAAATTTATTTATTTCACAAGCAGGTATTACCTCTTGACTTTTGGGACCGGGTTATAATATTCGCCATCGATTCTAGAACTCTAATTGAACGTTGAATAGTTCTATGAGCAACAGGTAATGTCATATCTCTTTTTTGCAATTGTTTAGATAAATCAGATAGTTCTATTAATGAATCATATAATATACCAAGATTATACACAGATTTTTCTGAAGTAAGAATATTTTTTAATCCTTCATATTTAGCTCTTTCTTTAGAATCTCTGCGAGTGCCGGTAGATGCATAGGAAAAATGTTTGTATAGAGCTTCAAAATTATTCCATACAGCTCTTAATGTACGTTCACTAGAAGCAATCCATCGAATGGTAAAAATTTTACCGGTGGTCAATAATTGTTGTTCTAACGAAGCAGCACATTCTCGCAATTCATTTGAATTTTTTGGTGATATATGGTATAATGAATAAACTTTTTCAATAAAACACTGAAAATGATTCAATCCATTTACTTCTTTTAAACTGTCATTTACGGCTAATTCTAGGCGATGGTTACAACAGTGCCAAGATATTAATATATAGATATATAGATATAAATCTTTTTTCAGTAGAGCACTACACCAGCATTGCGTCCCAACATATTAGATGCACCATCACTCACAAATGATATAATTTTTTTTTTTAAAAATTCAAAATCAATTTTATACTTTTCAAGTACTTGCAAAATAGCTTCTTTTATAGTTATTGTAGAAGCATTTTTTAATTCAATTATATCAAAAAAAAAAAAAAAAATGAGTAATGACAGTAATTTTACAAGTGACCAAAGTCTTGACAATTAAAACATTACGGCGGATCGTATGTGGTCTTATTTGATTTTTCTATAACTACTTATCATTGCATTCGAGGTCAACAAAAAATATTGGAAGGAATGGCTATTTTTTTTTCTTATCTCACTCAGGGGTGGACCCATGGGGCACTAGAGATAAGAACTACCCCCGTTGGAAAAAATAATATCCAAAATAAAGTATATTTAGAACTAAATAATAAAAAAAAAAATAAAATAAAATAAAAATAAATAAATGTTGACAGTTTTAGTACAATAATATTGTCGCATTATTTGGGGGGATCTAAGCCCCAACCCATGACACCCTTATTTCTCCCCTATGTGTCTTTTTAACAATGCAGCAGAAATTTCAGCACCGAGAATTGAATGATGGAGATTTCTGATTACGATCCTAGAAGGATACTCAGAGCGAGAATGAAAAATATAAAAACTGATGTTATTTTCCATCAAATGCTTAATTATTATGTTGAAGTTATCACAGAGAAGTATACTAAATTTCTGATGTAAACAAGCAAAGCAATAGACCCAACCTGGTCCGTGGAATGATGTGAATGTGTGACGGTGTCATCATGAGAGAATCAAATATCGTGTTATAACTATTATCGATTGAGGAGAGGACAGCGAAACTGTTAGGTGAAGTATATATCTCTTTTCCTTCATGATTCTTAACTGAACAGTTGGATAATATTCGTTTGGATGACGCAGGCAAGTAAGGTGGACTTTTAACGGAACGAATTATAATTTTACATACGTTGAAAATAAAACAACCAATAATACTATTTACATAATTAAAATACAAATAACGGAACGAACGTAATAATAATTAATGAAACTTATAATGTATGTACAAACATCATAGTTTTCTGCGAATAATTTTAAAATGAAATTCCTACACAGCAGTTACTCGCAAGGAATATTTGTATATTTCATGTAATTATTATAATGTATTATAATAATTGTTAATTTCAGTTTATATATTATCGTTACAATCGTAACGTAATTATTCCTTGGAAAACTTTTTAATAATTATTTCGTTCAAAGAGCTTATTAAAAGAAAGTAGTTGTAAACAACCATATACGTGAGCTGTTTAAAACAATGGTCGGAAAGAATCAACCACTCTTTGTCTCAATGATTTATCAGTTATGAATAAGCTTCTGAATTCACTCATAATTTCAGGAAATGTTGTAAAGCTTATACTTCTCGTAAAACGTAAAACAACAAATTACCACAGCAATACAAGTGGACTACATATTTCATGTCTGGCTGTAGACTTTTTAACGCTAAACACAATAATATTAAAATATGCAGCGAGTGTATTTCACGCGAATAAAATCATGAGATAAACCCTTTTCGCTGTTAATATTTAAAACCCCACAGATTAAACGTTCAGATTACAAAAATGTTTACAATTTATTCGGATTTTTATTTTTTACCGTAGATGTTTATCGTGAACATGCCGGAAATGCGCGCAAACGTGCATTTGATCAAATGCCGCAATAAATTACAAGTCTGGTCAATGTAACAACATTTTTAGAAAATATTTATCAATATAATAACGAAGAACCGAATACATTTACCAGCACGTGGTAGTGCATCAATTTGCAATTTCGAAATGTGAGCGAATTACCGACTATGCGAATATAATTAGATACCAAGTAATTCCTTGAAATACAGTTTATACAGCATTAGGTATATGCGATTATTGGGCTCTGAAATGGAATTTGATGTAGTATTTGTATTTAAATGGAATTACAAAATTAACTCAACTGGTCTCGCAAGACGTGTACACGTTTAATTACATTTTATTCAGGTGATTCATAATATGCTGATATATGCTACACTGCTCAAGTTGTTAGATATGTCTCCGTCCACATACAAACCAATAATATATGTACTTATTTTTTATCCACTTTATTGGTAACGTGGTAATTGAAACATTGGTGAGTCCGTCACCTTATGATAAATGTACGTTCGTTACTCCAGCCCCCCCCCCCCCAATTTTTAATTTTGCCATTTTTTTTGCGCCAATAATTAGTGCTCAATTCTTGCCAATTCCTGCCATATTTTCAGAATTCCTGCTGTACCAGTTTTTTCAGAAAGTCGAATTTTCTACGGGTGGGTATGTCAATATTAGGGTTAGGTAGTTGTAGGAATTGCATATTGTATGTTCTCAATTTATAGCAGACCAAACTAGAAATCTGAACTATACAATGGTGAGTTAAAAGATTGAAAATTAAAAATGCATATTTTGCATATTTTGTCAATTTTAGTTAAAAAAATGCATATTTCATTGATTTTGCACTCGTATTATGTATAGGTATTTCATATTTTTCTAAAAAAAATGTTAATATTTTTAAAATTTTATTTTCCTCGTCTGCATATTTCTATTAATATTGAATACCTATATAAAATTCAAAATTATCAATGAAGATATTTATTGCCATAGTTACAGTTAAAAATTAATTTAATAACAACGATGTGATACGCATTTATTCTATTACGCTAAAATACCAAAATACTTATGTTAAGAAATTTTTATCTTATCGTCAAAATGCCAACCAATTATACATTTTTTCCATTATAAATAGTTTTTGTGTATATTATTGATTATTAACAACATCAGATAACATTAAATGTATTTGATGTGGTAATCAGGGGCGAATTTTCCATTAGGCACTGTAGGCTAATTAAAAAAAACTAACTATTTCAACAATAACAAAACCTACTATGATAAAAATTTATTAATAGTCGATAATAATATCATTGTTTATCTATTTTAAATTATTTTGTCCAAAGAAAATCATGAAGATTTATAATCATTATAAATACAGTTGGTCATTATACAACTTATATGAAAAGAGGATGCAGAAATTAGGAGCAGTACGATTTAAAAAAAAAATCCAGTCCAAGTAAAATAACAGACGACAGTACCTGTTGAATTTCTATTTTATTCGATTTAAAAAACATTTCAATTTAACTTTTTAATTAAAATTTAAAAATTTTATTGTAGATTTTATTAGAGCTGAACATAAATACACAAACTATTAAACATTTCCGTTGTGTATCGTATAATAATTATTATGGTGCAATTCTTTACAGGAACAATATAAAACAACATTAACGTAAAATTATACATTTTAACAAAATATGTGAATATAAGATACACTTAACTGTATTAATATTATAATATTACAGATCAATCAATATATCAATATTTAACAATAGTATAAAAAATTGTGTTCTCTGTAGTAATTGTGTACATAGATACGTCATCCATAAAAACATACCCACCCATAGAAAATTCAACTTTCTAGAAAAATTGAAATAGCAGTAATTCTTAAAATATTAGTAGGGATCGGCAGGAATTGAGCACTAATTATTGAATTAGAATTCATAAAAATTCATAAAAAAAATTGTAAAAAGTTAAACTCAAAGTGTGGGTGGGGCTGTGTAACGTTACCTCAGCCCCACTCGTAGAAAATTCGACTTTTTGAAAAAAACTGGTACAACAGAAATTCTGAAAATATGGCAGGAATCGGCAGGAATTGAGCACTAATTATTGGTGCAAAAAAAAATTGCAAAATTAAAAATTGAGGGGGGGGCTGGGATAATGTACGTAATAAATGTAAGTACATTCATTTTCAATACGTCGTGTACACCTGTTCTTACAGAGGCTCAAAACTAATATATTTACGTAGAACAGATGGCCCGTGAGTTTATTTGGCTTAGTCCCGACTTCGTAAATACATTTTCGTCAATATCACTAGTCGCGCTACGGGTTTTCGGAAAAAGAGTTGTGTGTCCGGATTAGACGTCATAGATTCACCCCACGGTTTCGAAATAATTTGGGCGCCACAGCACTTGTACGTCCACCGTAAACGCCTAACATCCGTAAGTACATCGAAACAAAGGAAACAAACGCGAACACATAACAATCCAATTGCCATCAAATAAACCGTACGGATTTTAATTAACAGCTAATCAAAACGTGCAATTGGCGTTCGACAAAGCCTGTTCAATGCGTGATTTACGTCGGTCGTACACCGTTTACGGTTATACACGCCCCGTCAATACCTATCTCAATTAGAGGTTGTGAGGCTCCGCAAATGCGAGTGCAGTGCCTCGGGGACCTGCGGCACACAGTCGCCCGCAATTTGACGCGCGGTGCCGCAGCGTCACCGCGCGCGTTCGTGCGCATAGCCAATCCAGTTGTGAGTAACATAAAACGTACAAGCGGTACCGCGCGTTTAAAAATCGCACGTGTGCATCAAGCCTAAGACATCATATAACAACGAAGCAAGTTTTAATTGATGCCGTGATCGTAAAATAAAGTTTATGCGCCGACGATCTGTTGGCATACCAAACACAGTGCTTATAATTTACCCAACATAGTTTACGCGTCACTCCCGGTGAACGCAGTGCACACACACGGTATAGATTACGCGTAGTGCAATAATTGTTTATTACCGGGAACCGTTACGCGGCGCTTAGAAATACGTTTATTATACGTACCGCTATTGCCGCCATATCGTACGCGTTGTATTATTACTGTTAACGAGAAACTTTCTTCACTTCGCTGGTATAGAATTACACGGCAGAGTCTTCCGGAAAAACTAGAACATTTGAAGTAGCTCTCGCGGAAGTAAAAAAAAAAAAAACATTTTAATTGCATTTTTTTTTTTTTCGTATTGAAAACAGAATAATGCATTGTATTAAGCCTTTAAAAGTTTAAAAGTTAGAAATATAATATCTTAAAATCTAACAGATGGTGCCTATTCGTATGTATGTATACATA